TTTTTATATATATATATATATATATATATATATATATATATATATATATATATATATATATATATAGCACAAATCTTCTAGGGACATCCTGAAGACGTTCAGAAGACGTTTTAATATCCTAAGAATATCCACAGGATATCCATAGAAATATATACATCCAGATAACCAAATTTGCGCGAACAGATTTCGAGCAGAGCTTGCTATCAACTTTTGATGGCAAATAGATAACAAATTTGATGCAGGATCTGTTGTTATCAAATTTTGCTGCCAAATTGTCGCCAGATATGCGGCAGAACTTGTTGTCGGAAAATTGCTGCAGATTTGCAGCAAAAACCGCGCAGAGCTTGTAGCGATTTGACGACAGATTGGCGGCAGAAACCGCGCAAACCTTGCTGCGCTGCAAGTTTTGCGCAGTTTTTGCTGCAAATTTGACACCAATTGCCCGATAGCAAGATCTGTCGCCAAAACCGTAGCTTAATGTAAACACAGATGGCTATGGTTTTGCTGTGATGGGTTTTTGATCAAATTTGCTACCAAACTGCGCGCAGTCTGCGCTCAATTTGCTTACTGAGCAAGGTGGCCCCAGGTGTAAAGTTTTACAAGCTAATAACTCTAAACATTTTTGTTTATATATATATGTTATTGAATAAATGTAATATTTACCATTTTCAAAAAACAGTACACTTTTAAACTGAACTGACAATATCTGAAATCTTGGTAATCCGGTTGCTATTTGAGACAATTGGGGCAGAACACGAAATATTTGGTTTCTAAAGAGGCATATACTGATCCGAAACTAACCCAGAGCGCTGTTTGTAAGCTCCTATAGTTTTATTTGAAAAAGTAGTTGTATATTTACAGGAAAAGTAACGTCATGTCAAATTGAATCTCATATGAGATTATGAATTATTTGCTTCAGCTGTTGCTCTCCTATCATTTGTTTGTTCTATCGTCAATCGTAAAAAAGTTATTCCTTTTACGAATCACTAATACCGATTTTATTCTATAAAACAAAGATACTAACGCGCGCTTGAAGAAAAAAGGAAGAGATTTGGGTTGTGTTCGGCAAGACACTATATTTACCGTTTTAAACGCGTTCTGTCCTTAGTCAATTTTTAATAGGTAACAAAAATAGAGTACACTCATAGCGCTAAATAACATCTTCCCGAACGCAGCCTTATTACTATTGAATTGCAGTCGTGAGATAAACGTGATTTTTCAGAACGATGGTACACTGATAAGCACGAATGGATAACAGTGGATGGTAAAGTGGGCACAGTCGGTATATCAAATTACGCGCAAGAGGCACTCGGAGACGTGGTTTATGCGCAACTTCCCGACGTAGGATCTGTAATTAAAAAAGGAGGTAATTAATACACAATATTTTTAATTAGCAACCAGATCTTGAAGACAAATAAAACTTATATAGTACTACAAAAAAAACGTATAAGTCACTCTGTAGAACAGTATCATTAAAATAACATATCGTGTCTTTTTTTTCTTTCTTATCTTGAAGAGAAAGCAATGTTCCACAAGTAAATTTTCATAATAACAATGTTGCAACATCACGTTTGTTATTAATTATCTTTTAATAAAAATAATGTAGAAACTACCAGATTGTGGTAACTTTTCATCACTTTTGAGTTATGAATATTTCTGCGCTTTAAAACTTTGTTAAATTCGACAAAATGAACAACTTTGTATTAAATTAAATTAAAGTTAAACGAAAATTAAATGAGCTTTAATTAAAGTTAAAATAAAATTAAAAGCCACGTATCACGAACCATATTAAGCATAATTAACAGCATAATTTGTACATGCATTTTTGGCATATTTTTACGCTTATTCAATCGCTTTTTCTCCTTTCATTACGAATTATATATCTCATTTTATACACATTGAAATCTTTTCTCATAAATCAATCTATGATTTTTTTAGAGGAATGTGGTGCGCTGGAATCAGTGAAGGCGGCTTCGGAATTGATAAGCCCGGTCAGTGGAAAAGTTATAGAGAAAAATGAATTGATTGAAAGTAAACCCTCCTTAATTAATACATCTTGTTATAAGGACGGTTGGTTGTTTAAGGTAGAATTAAGCGAACTAGACGAAGTCAAGAGTCTGATGAACGAAGAGAGTTACAATAAGTTCCTAACAGAAACAGACGCGCATTAAACTCTGATCTCATATCTACTGATGTACGTCTGAGCCGAATTAACAATTATGCATTAGAGGTTGCATTTAAAAAATATTACTCGTGGTTACAGTCACGTCTTCAAAGTTGAGAAATGATAACAATTACGTAGTACAATTACGCAGAAGTAGTTAATTTTTTAAACATAATGGTTAAAGACTGTTTCACAAGGCAGTTCGTTGTAGTGGTTTGTTGTATTGGCATAATTTAATCAGTACTGTAGGTAAAATAAATAACAGTACAAGCAATTCTCGATTCGGATCACGGATAGAGATAGAGTATATTCCTAACCGAATATACTTTCTATGTTACAATTTTTACACCAACACCACAATTTATACGAAGTTCACACTACATACATCATTATATTCATTATAAATATATCACGTCGCGTGGAAAGGGTAACATTATGAGATTAATGTTAATATTTGTCAACATCTTGATCATCACGAGTTGATTATACAACTGATTTTACATACTTATTGTTTAATTCAGTTGAAATTAACATATGCAACGCTAATTGTGTGTTAAGTAATAAGAAAAATAAATATACATCAACTATTACCATTTGATATTTTTCTAGTGCAACACATATGGCTTTACACCGTATTAAGGTTCATGTTATACTGTTGTATGTTACTAATTAGTCACTTTAAATTAATATATAATTTACGCTGCAACATCACATGTATGAGATTATAATGTAAAAATTCGAAATGTGTGAAGATGTTTGTCATATGAAAAAATGATAGATGATTGCGATAGTTGCGATATCTTTATTAGTCACTGTGCAATGTTTGTCGTCTCGTATTTATACAAAGCAAAAACAAATATACAAGTTGTTTGATACATGAATAACAGCATTCGAGTTACGAATTATGATCATTTTCTTGTTCAGTGTGCACGAAGGCATTGAAATTTTGTAATAGTTGTACATTCTAAGTGGCTGAATTAATCGTAAAATCTCTACCTTTAAATCTCGCAAAATGGCATACTGATTGATCCTATATCCTACAGTTTTTCAACTTTTTTCTCGAAAATTTTAACTCTTACAGTTTCACAATCTGGTAACGATCTTTAATATCGAATTTGAATAAGGGAAATACTATCGTCTCGCGCGCCGTATGGGGTTTTCAACCATATATAATATAAAAAAATAGCATTAACTCTAAAAAGGAACAGTTATCTGTTAATATAATAAAGATATATTTACAGTCAATTAATTTTTTTTCTACATAATTTACAATTGCCAACTGCTAATGGCAGTGTTAACAACGCATAATATTTTTTCTTTCCCTTTAAAACTTTATTCCAACGATTTATCGGACCGAAGAATCACATCGATATTAAATAAGATCATTGCCAATCATAATTGGTAACTGTACATATTTAACATAATGTACATAACGCTGCGATCGTCGTATTCACTAGTTTACATTTGTTAACACGTCGTAACAGATCGGATCGTTAATTATGATGGAAGTATATATAACAACGATAGACGCGCGCGTGGGCGCGATTTAGAGCTACTTTTAGAAGAGAGTTTCTTTCTCTCATTGCTATAGATAGTGATGTTTGCGCGAATGATACTTGTTCCAAAATTATCAGACCGACACGTTTAACGCGGGAGGTCTCAAAACAGGGTTATAATAAATAAAATGTAATGTAAACTTGTCTCCGTCAAAACAATGGAATTAAAACAATTGAAAGCAATTTTTTCAAACATTGATCCTCATACTTGTCATTTCTTTTGATTCTTTGAATCATCGGATTTTGCTTCGACGTTAACAAATGGTTTTCCTCAATTCTGATAGCAGTAACTACGCTTCCGTGATTAGTACATAGTAAATGACACGATTATAAACTAATATGCCGAAAATACAATAATAATAATAGTAACTAAGGCCTAAAAAATAACATGGACATACAATGGATACGATATTTTAATAAGTTGTATTACATAGCTCGTAGCTTCTTTCTCTCTCTCTCTCTCTCTCTCTCTCTCTCTCTCTCTCTCTCTTACGTGTAATTATACATACTACACGGATTAAAAGTAGTTGCTTATGCATGTTACATTCATTCGTTCCATTAAAATTGCTATCTGGGCGTCTATTCTGAGGTATGTGGTTACTAAAAATGTAAAAGTATAAAAACTTAATACAGAGATATGAAGAGGTAGTCATTCGTGTCTGAGTTAAATAAAAATAATCTTTTCCAAAGAGGGGGAGTGTCATAAATGTGAAAGTGATAAGCCTAGAGACTGTCTCCGATCGTGTTCAACATGAAGATCTGGACAATTTGAAAATTTTGGGAACATTAACATATTCTACATTGGCGTGTGTAAGTCAAACTTGACGGCGGACAGAGATTTTTACCCACGTGATAAGTACATGTGATACCCTCGATCAAATAATTTCTGCGGTGTGATAATAATTGTGTGATAGTACAAATTATAACAGTTTGTAACATTATTATTATCGCAATAATTATTACCCGTGATAATAATAATAATACTCGTCACCATTCCTCTTGATTTGATTTAACACTCGATTCTTAATCTAACATGGCATAAAATTTCGCACTCGTCAATACAAGTCACGTTTACACCTAGTCAAATGTATTGCGAGAATCAGTGGAAAAAGTGAAAGTAGTAAAATAGCATATTCTTTTTGCAGCAGGTACGTGTTTGATACGTGAATGAAAACAAGAGGAGTCGCGACGGGTAACATTACCAATTTATCAGTGCGAGGAAAGATATCTGTCTCATTGTCAAAGTTTAAACTTTGCAGCTGACACATGTAATTTCCGATGGCTTTGATACCACAGGCGTCGAAAAGACAACCTTCACAGCACTGAAGAATTTCTGACTATTAGCTAAACAATATTATATTAAAAATAATAATAATATAATATAATAATAATCTTTTAGTGAAAAATTACTACTTTCGGTCGCTCTATCTTAACATTCACTAAATATCTTCTCTATTTAACAACTGCGCGAGATATAAGATTAAAATGTTATCTCTTATATATTTAGAATTTTAATCGCTAGACAATATATAGGACCACATAAACCTTGCTCCAATGATTCTTTTATTTCTTAAACAGAATCTTTATTATGATACAACATACAATAGTAAAATATCGTAATTTGTGGTTATTCCTTTCCGCCACCTATTTGAAAAATAATAAAGAGAAATACATGTTTAAGGCCCTAAAATTAGTGAAGACATTAAGTAGCTAATGATTTCTCTCGAGTGTAAGCAACAGAAATATATTTATTTCGTTAAACTATACACAAAATATCGTAATTACATATTTAACATGATCTTCATACTTTACAACATAATTGGAATGTGTTAACTAGTATTTACAATATAGTAGCCCTGCTTGTGTGCAAGTGTGTCAAAAATGCAGATTTCTTTTTTATAGGAAATTCTAAGGATGCCCAGGTGGCCGTGCAACAAACACATATGTATATCACATGCAAGTTTACTGTCGTTCAAGTATGCCCATTGAATCCCTTGCAGAAGCACGATTAAAATCTGGAAAGTTCGGATTCTCTTTAGCAGTAATAGTAGTAGTAGTAGTACAATATTTCGTTCGAATGAGTGAGAGCAAGGCTTCAGTGGTATGCTTAAAAATAATCGCCTCTAAGTATTAGAAAAATAGCTTTACTTATTTAGACAAAAATTGCCTGCCCTTTGACCAATATTTTGTTTTAACCACCCTTTGTACTGTTTTCAAGGCATCTTGCTTACTGTTTCCCTGCGCTTGTACCCACCAACAGGGGTGTTTCTCCACGGATACATCTCTAAAACTTCAACATCAAATATAGAAAATATATGTCATTGTTGTTTATATATTTAGATACACTTTATATAATACATATATATGTAATATATGTAAAGTATATGTACGTCTATACTTTATTTGTATGCATAGGTATTTTTTGAACCAATGCCCCATTACTTGGTCCGATACCTTAGCAGCGTTAGCTCTTAATAGGTACTTTGAGGTCCACTCTGTCTCTCCCGATTAGGGGCGCTAACAAGACTTTCGATATATTATGTGTGTGTATGTGTGTGTTTGTTTGTATGTGTTGCATCTGTGTATGTATACGTATATGCAGTGTCGTACTATTCGATGGCAAAAGTTACCAGGAGAAATCGATTGTTTCATTTTCTCTTGGCGTGAAGCATCTCCATGAGAAGTGTTTGCGTAGGTGCACCTCCGTTACAATGCTTGTGATAGAGATGATCTTCTCCCCTGCTTGCCACCATGTGGATTTCTGGTAATACTGCTAGCAGCTTGTTGAATTTATCCTGCAACGATCAGTTGAGAGAGGATAATTAGACACACCGTCTACTCTTTGATCTACTTCAGCGAGGAGTATACACAAGGTTGAATTTTGTAATACCGGTATAGTTGGGTAACAATGTATCGAGTAATCCATAAGCGCCCGTTGAACTTGCTCGTGCCCCTCTTGCACATGCTTCTTGTTTACTAGCCCTCGAACCTCTGTGACAAGATACATATTTTACAAGTCATATTGTATACTGCATCTTTCGAGTTATACTAGATGTTTAGTTTATGTTAAAGTAAGGTATAGTGCCAATTATGAGGAAGGAAATTAATTATATGAACAATTACATCGTCGGTTTAACAGATGTCGAATTATCGATGCAAGGTCTCTGAAATAATCACTTACTTATCTTTCTTGTGAACTTGTATACTTTTTTAGGTCTCCTCAATACATAAATTTGCAAAATCTCTATTATCATTTTTTAAAAACTCGTACGCGCTTTGTTGGGATTTTCAACTCCAACATCTAATATTCCATCGTAGGAAAGGACGGTTCTGTCTATGACATGATTTCGCGACGCGTTTAAAAGAAATATACAAATGCAATAGATGGCTCTGAACCTATGAGAGTCTGAACTTTACTTACCGTGATTCAGCAGCATTAGGAATTTCATGCAAACGTAATCGGAGAGGTCGAATTTTAGTTCCTGAAGTTTCTTGGACAGATCGTTGAAGAGATCCGCCAAGCTAGGAACTCCAAGTAGGCCGAGGCAAAGGAGATCAAACTTTTGACCATTGTGAAGTGTTGTCTCGTCAGGTAGGTTATTGTGTAACCTGTGATGAAGGTGGTCCAGTACCAACATATCCGACCAAGAGTGTTGTAGCAGCTTCATTTGATCGTCAACCTAATAAATTATTTGTGTAAACGTTAGATACTACATTAAAGGTATATAAGAAGAGAAATAAAAAAAACTATACATCCTACATTTTTTAAGATATCTTTCATTATTAATTATTAATCCCACACACATATCGTCAATTAATAGTTTCACTTGGTTAACTCGGTAAATCTTCTTTTCATAACGAAAGTATAATGGAACAACGTGTCTAGCGTTGACATGCGGATTAATTTATAACTTTAGAGAACATTTATTTTTTATTGATTTTAATAAATTGTACTAATCTTTGTTGATCTTATTTATTTTTTATTAATTTATTGTTTATTAATGTGTAACTTTATAGGATATTTAAAAGGAAAAAATACGATGTACAAAATAACGTGTACACAAGTGATACGATTTTGATGAGAGTACAGTGAAAATCCCGCGATAATGTACCATATTGTCGACGAAAGACTTAAACAAATGGCCTCATTTCACTCTACGTCGCCGTTAACGAACTTGCTGTGTTGAAACAAAAATAAAAAGTTGTTACAAAACGATCGGTTAAGTATGCAATTTATAATTAACGCGGTCCTGCTTTGGGGCAACCGCCATAACCCAGAAACGTATCTTGTTATGACCTAGATATGAGGCGATGCTTGAAATCATTCAGTGATTGTGCAATGCCGCTGGTTACCTCACATCCCCGCCGCTCATGCCACGAGCAGGCCAGGCAACGAGTTATTTATCGGCAAGAACAAACTCCTCGACGAGGAGATTCTCGGCACAATCAATGCAATTACAATTATTCATAACACGTGCGTAATCTCGTAATCGTCGTCCTCACCCCATGTCGTATTCCAAATGCTTAATGCAAATTGAAAAATGTTAAAAGAACAAGAGAAAGAAAAGATAGTTTCTAATTCCACTTGATAACTCAATGAAGGGAGACCTCTTTGATACACTCTAGAAAAATTCTACAAGTATGCCAACAACTCACGAGGATAGCAGAAGATCGATCGCTCACCTTGAGATCCTTGAAGAATATCGAATTCCTAGCCCAGTCCACCTGCGCGAACAGATTCTGGTCGAGCACTTTGCACATTAATTCGAACAAGTCCACTTCACACTGATTGTACGTTTGGTTTTGCAGAAGTGCGAAGAGGGACGTCTGCCACTCGCGGTCGTCGAGCGCCTGCACGAAGTCTCTTATCATCGGACTAGCTTTTATAGCGACGGCAGAGGTGAGGCTCGCGGAGGTCGCGGCACTGCCGTGGGATTGCGTGGACTGCTCGCCGAAGCTGAAGGCCTTTGTACCAGGGGTGGTGGAGTTTGCGGCCCACAACTTGTTGTCCAGGCCGGGGTTGAGGTTGTGCAGATGATTACCACCGCTGCTGCCGCCGCCAGCACCACCGCCGTTGCCGCCGCCGCCGCCGCCGCTTCCGCCACCACCGCTGCCACCGGCGATGTTCGGTTGAGTGGACGGTGCGATCAGCTGGTGTTGACCGGCACCGTTGCCGGCCTGCGTCGTCACCAATCCCGCGGCCACGGCCGCGGGGGACGGACTCGAGTCTGGCGAGGAAGTCAGACTCGAGACCTGAGGTATTTGGATCTCCTGCTTGATGTGCAGCAACGGCGTCACTGCGGACGAGTAGGTCGGGTCGCCGAGGTTGCCACGTATCGTCTGCAACGCCATTTGCCGTTGCCGCATCAGTTGCAATTTCCGCGCACGATCCCGTTTGTACATGGGCCCGAATTTGTTTCTACCACCTCGCATCCGGTCTGCCCGTACAGCTGTAACAATTAAGGAAGCTATTAATTTCGTAGATCTTTCGTCAGCAGCAATCTCTCTCTCTCTCTCTCTCTCTCTCTCTCTCTCTCTCTCTCTCTCTCTCTCGCGCGCGCGCGCGTGCGTCCAAATTTCTATTTTAGTAATATATTGGCAAAGATGCAACGCAAAGTGCCTCGGTCGAACGTTTTCTCATTTTGAATGAAATGGAAATTACTTCAAGTAAAAATGTCGAAGAAACGTTTCTTTCTAGTTTTAATTTTTCTCTGTCAATATGTACTTGTTCAACATACGAATTATTTTAAAAAGAATTTTTCTAGTGAATAATTGACTTTTAAGTGTTCGATATAATCTACCTAAATGCTCAGAATTTGCTCCAAAGACTATAAATATCTACGAGCGAAAAGATGGACGAAATTGAATTACAAGGGTCAATCATAAATTTTTCCCTCTAGTGTGAACTCATGGAAAATTTATCTTTGAAAATATATGGAAATGTTCACTTTTCACAATATTACATTAGAGGAAAAGATTCATGATCGCCACCAGGCTGTGAGACCTATGAGAGTCTCCGCTTTCAGGTACTGCAAAATTATTTATTTTTCGCGATGTCACACTAGAGAACAAACTACATCATTGATAAATAAGATCAGGTTCATGTGGAAAGATTCATAACTGATGTCCTGAAGATTTAAGCTTGGTTCATAGTGTACTTTTTGCTTCCTATTTCTATCTCTTCATCTCTTTCTGACTTAAGCCTTGAGTCAGAAAAAGACAGCGAACAAGAAACAGGAAGGAAAGAGCACATTGTAGATCAGACTTTATACGATACGGAGACGTTCTTCAAAGTACTCGACGTAAAAAAAGCTATTTCACGTTTGAATCACAGTCGACACGATGTGCAAAGGTAATCGGCCTTTTTCAGAATGGCTCGAATGATCATCCGCTCGCTGCGACGCTCGCGAATCGACGGAAATCTCACGGGTGTGATTCGCGCGCGATCGAACGAAGCAACCTTGAGGAAGCGGTCTTCTGAGTCCGGCGTTGACGAAAGCGGAAGTCACGGTTAATCGCCAGATAAGTAGGACAAAAGCGTGAGAGTGCGCACTGCTGCTATTCCAGTTATATGCGCGTTCTCAGCAATAAACGCGCGTACGTATATAAAGTTATGTACGTGCACGCGCCACGCAAATAATCACACAACTTGACCATTCGCGTTTTCCACACCTACGGCGCTGTATAATGTGATGTTGAATTCACAACGGCCTCCTCTTCGAAACCATCACGGAGTCGTATGCCGCCCGCGCGAGATCGACAGATGCTCGTCAAACTGTTTCGCGATGGAAAGATTTTACGCGTATAAATCTTGAGAAATACTTCAACAGATCTCGTAGCTGACATGAATCCCTAGACCATGAACCTCGCTCATTTAAATCGAAATTAATTTTTCGCTAACAGATATATCTGTAACTTCGAAAACTTAAGTAACGCGTGAAAGCGTTAATTATTGTACAGCAACGTTTGTTCATCATTCAGTCAGTCATCGCACGAAAAATTTTCATCTAAATATTAATCGTACAAAAAATCACTTGTATAAACCAAATATCGAAAGATTTTGGGATCGAAAAATATCTGAGATTTTCTTACTGCTTAAATTGATTTTCGTAATTTATTGAATTTCTTTCAAGAAAGCAAGACTGAATCTCGTGAATAATCATAAGCTTTACTACTTACAAATTCTTTTTTTGGCAAATCTGCAATCTGGAGTATAAGGGAGACCGGGGCTATATAGTCCCAAGAGTATGTTGCTCATGTGCTTTTTTAATATCTATCTTGAGAGAAATAGTGGGAACAAAATCGTGAAATGGTTCTTTTAGAACATAAATACTTTTCCCCGAGTTTCATTAAAATCGGAATAATATTAAAATAAAAAAAAAAAAAATAAAAAAAAAACTGATTTAGTAATTAGCAAAGTAAATTTTCAAGCCTTTCGAAATTTTGTGTTAATATTCTCCATTCTGACTGAATAAAATTAAGCAATGTATTATTACTTAGAATAAAATTTCTTGCAAGTGTATGATATACTGTTTCTGATAATAAATGCAATTTTCATTCATAAAATGATTGAAATAAAGCATATGAGTGGACAAGGTAAAGTTGACCCATAATTAAAGGTCAGCAGGAAGGCTGTGGAGATCTCTTGCGGGGAGACTCTGGAACTACTAATTAGGATACATATTTTATAGGTAATCTTTTTCTTTTTACGTTACTGGGCTACTGCGTTACTGGACAAGTGAATCCGGTACCAAGGAAAGGTGGCTCTGTTTTTGCATGTTCGTATATATTTTGGTTATTACAAAACAAATATATACGATTAACAGAATCGTAGCGGGCATTAATACATAGAAGAAGGTTCCCTCTATCGTGTTTATTCTTTTTTTACTTCGAAATTCTAAAATATAGGGTATCTAATCCCCTAGTCGGTGGTGAAAAGATTACAACATTTCAAACTAATTATTCGATTTGATGAACTTCAACACGTCTGAAATTGCCCAACTATTTTGGCGATCTAGATTTCGTCTATTCAAAAGCACATTGGAAAGAAATGTGTTGCAATCTTTTTACTATCGATTATAGAGCGGCCCGACAGCCAACCAGCTAACCAGCCAGCAGCCGGCCGTAATCGCTAACGACGTTCGCAGCAGAGTGACACGAAGGATAGGCAAGCGTCGTAATAGTCACTCGCGTAATCCGTAATCGTCGATTATTGCGCACACAGGCAGCCCTCCTCGTAAACGCATTTACCTTCTTTACACGCGTACACTTCCTGCAACGGTTTAAATATTGAAAAAACCACAGTTTATGGAGCCGCGCACGAGTTTGCGAGCACGTAGAGATTAGTTTTCGAGCTTTTGCCGAGAATCTTGTCCGCGAGTCATCACCCTGAACGATAGCGTCGATAAGTGGCGGCGAGACGCTAACACTGAAACAAAATGATACAGGCAGACCAGTTATTTGGACGAACGAGTCCCTTTCAACACCTCGTAGTACGGAATCACCGCTGGCACCGATGTATCTCGCGCGTAAAATAACTCGGGCTTGAAACGTGATCGCGTTTTAAGCTCGCTTTTAGAATAGGTGCTATCAAACACCCATTACCATAAAAACGTCGCGTATTGTTGTCGCAACAAAGCAACAATATCGATATTTCGAAATCCCACCTCGAAATACGAAACATCACGCGTGAGATTTGATTTTTCAAAAGCCCAAAGAGAGTTAACCTTCACGAAAGCGTCTATGATAAGCTCGCACGCCGGCTGCGCAAGCAGACGACCTCGATATTAAAGACCGCGCGCTTTGCTAAGTCGGAGTCCTCCATAGGCAGATTGCCCCTGACGACATCGCAAATCTAATAGGCCACCGGAGCGGTTGTCTCGCTACCTAAAAAGCCACCGAGACAATCTCTCGAGTTGGCTGGCGCACGTCCAAGAGAGGACTCCGCTCTATCGAAACGCGGCGGCGGGCAAAAAAGCACACCGATGGCGTCGCGACGCCACCCTCCTCATGCGGCGAGCGCGAGTGAACGAGTAGAGCGACCCGTGCCGTGCGAGTCGAGAAGGTCGGTTGCGAACCGTACGCTCGTAGCCTCTGAACTCGCGTGCGCGCGTTCGGCGAAAACGGCGGCGTTGCCTATTTTCGTACGCGGTGTGCTCTCGCCGTCGTATAAAACGGCGAACGAACGTGCGAGCGAGCGAGCGAGCGAGCGAGCGAACGAGCAAGCGAGCGAACGAGCAAGCGAGCGAGCGCGCGCGCTCGTTGAAAGTGAAAGGAGGTTGAATCGCTCTTACCCGTCCACTTCTGCCTGCCTGCCTGCCTGCCTGTTTGCCGGCCGGCCTGCCTGCCTCTATCTACCTATCTGCCTGCCTGCCTACCTGCCTGCCTGCCTGCGTCGCCCCACGCGCGTCGACATCTCTTTTCTCCTCCCTCCCTCCCTCTGTTTCTATTGCCCCCGACCTCACAACCGCGTGTAAACCTCGATCCGCTCCATATTGCCGCCTCCGCCACTCTGTAT